GCTTATGCCTTTTATCCCAAAAAATAATCCATATAAATACGAAAATCCAATTCATTTTCTCAACGTTTTTCTCTCGATTCAAATTACCTCCATGTTTACATTCGGAACTCTCTAGATTGTTCCTAGTAAATGCACTATGCGAGTTATCGCCCGTGTTTCTTTTTGCTACATTACGAATACACGGAACGAATTCTATCGTTAAACTGGGTCCGTAGGACAATATCATTTTAACGATAGAACATTCTATCTAAAGTCTGCATAGCTTAGTATTCGGCGCTCATGAAACCCGTGATAATTCAAAACTATAAATGTATAGTCCATACGATAAACACTTGTGTGAGTTGATCTATACACATGGAATTTAAGCATTATCGATGAAAATCGGACGGATAAGCAAAATTATATTTACCAACATATAATATATTCTAGTAGAATTTATAATTGAACTTATAGGAACTTGCTAGTGCGATCTATAACTCCATAGTTTAAATGATTACATTCTATCATGCATTATTTTTTCTTTACCGAGATAAAAATGTCAATGTTGTTCACGGTAAATATGTGGGGAATACCTTATTCTTCAAAAGTTTTCACCTTACTTCTACAGATTTTTTGTTGAAAAAATCTTTTTGAGGAAAAAACAAAAGCAAGTGTTATCTTTTTGTTCTTTTAAAATATGTTTTGGGGTGTGTAAAAATGCTCTTATCTGATTGATCGGAAAAATAATTACGTTTACTTGATGTCCATTTATAGCAACTTTCGGTTCTTGACTTCCATATTTGGAAATCGTCCAGACCTGTAGAAGAATGTGTATTTTGTTTGCTATTACATAGTTGTAAGAATGAAATGGTTAATGTAAATCGAATGTTACTATTTTTTTCAAAATACATAGAAAGACAATATTTTTTTATATTGTCAATTTGAAAAGAGTTTACGGTTCTAATTTGAATCGTTGTTTTCAAAATGATATATATGTAGACTAACACACAATATACCATCCTAAAACCGAGCCCCTTGAAGAAAAATGTAACATTATTTTCTAACCATTACACTTTGTACTTAAATTGTTAGATTTTGTAAAGAGGTTACTAGTAACAACATGAAATGCATATAGCATGAAAGGTTATTTAGTGCGTACATGTACCTTTTCATTAAAGTAACCGTAACATTTTTTTGAAAGAAGAGGAATTACATTTTTGACCTCTAAACAACACAATGTTTTAAGTCCGTTATTTCTTTATTACTTGGGTTTATATAATGAGAGACATATTCAAAGTAGTATTACATGTGAAAAAAATATCCAGCTTTACTATTGCATACAAATTATAATTAAGTATAACACATTTTGCACATGATAATAAATGTAATCGCTCAATGTGAATTTATTCTAACTCCAATTCCCGAAAAACGCATTTCAAACTAAAGAATGGCCGCACATAAGGATTCTTATTATAACTTTAAATTCAGAGACGCATTCAAACGTGTAAAAATAAATCATTGTGGATTGCAATCTTTTGCACAAAGTCTTTATTAGGTAATTGTGTCTTATCGTTATGCCAGACAATCATATCATGGAAAGCCTTTCATGGAAACCAACATTATCAACATCCTGACCCTGGAATTGACCTACTCTGGTCATGGTTTTTCAGTGGTTAGTTCTAGGACTTTCATAATTCAATGTCTTTATATTCATAATTTAATATCTTGTGACAAAACCATCATTGGGATACCAATGATTACTACCTTGGGGTTAAAACAACTTTTGAATGGTTTGCTTTATAATTTAGGAGTCTATTTCTTGTGACAAGAGCAGTCTTTGAACACCAACATTAATATTTACCTCGTGAATTTAGCCTTTGAGTTTGTCTTCCTTTCCAAAATTTTAACATTCGTCATAAAGTGTGAAAGGATGGTGATAGAGTTAATTATATTTTACATTATTGTGTCATGTGAGAAGACAATTTCTAGAATGCCAGTGTTTGTGACCTCTTGGCTCTGGTATTTGACCATTTTTTTCCCAAAACGTGTAAGACCCATGTTATTTGAATGGTTGTCCAAGGGCATCCCTATTTGTTGTAACAGGGCCTTTCTTTCTTATCCATACCAAAAAACGTCCTCCAAAAATCGATTTTTATTATAAAAAAGAATATCCTATTGATAGCTTAATTAAGTATACTTTTTAACATTTATTTCAATTATTCAGTTGACTAACATACACTTATTACAGTATTTTAAGGGAAAAAAATAGGTTTTAATTCTATAAACTATTGATTTTTATTAAATCAAGTTTTCCTGATTGTTCACAAGTAGTTGAAGTTCTCTTGTCGTACCTCTACTGTTGTCGGTATAAGACCTTTACAAATAAGAGAAGTGTTGCAACACAAAAATAACTAACAAAAAACACAAAAAAGACACCGTCAATAGACTTTGTCGGTAATTCCTCAGTTTTAGAAGAAGACTGAGAACTTTGACTCTTGGTATTGTTTTCCTGTTTGATATCATTTGGAGGTAGCTTCATTTCTGCAGCACTTATCTCTCGATGCTTGATTTTCCATATATTGGCCCATCCTTTCATTATCTTTTTGAAATACTTCATATCAGGATTTTTTCTGGCATGATGGCTGTTGATACTATACACGGTGGCAACAGTTATCAAGGTGCTGTAAATAAGCATGAACATCAGATACATGCAGAAAATGGAAGATGTATTGCTGGTTTGCGGCATTCTGTCAGTTATCAAAGTCATGTAGACAGCAAAGCTCAGAAGAACAGTCATTGCAAAAGACATACGTTCTCCACTTTCCACAGGAAGTTTGAAAACAATCGCGTTTACCAGGCCTAGAAAGACAACAGGTAATACAACACTTATCATGTGAAATACCATTCGCCTTTCCAAATCGAAAATAATTACGACGCGTTCAACATTTTTCGTCGGTATGAATTCTACTTCGGAATTGATATTGCTAAGAATCCATTCTCCGTTACTCTCGAAATTTGCAGTATCTATCTCAGCTAACCCCATTTGCAATTTTGAGGCGGACATTAATGTGGAAAGATAAATTTTACAGCGATGGATATCATTGGGATAGAAAGTAATATCTGACGTGCATGTTGTGGTCAAGACTTCCATGAAGAACAACCGAGCTTGTCCACTGCTAGAAATTTGGACATCTTTCGTTTCTGGGTCACCTTTGTTGATAAGAAATTTCTCAGCACAGTTCAAAAGATAGAGATTTGGAGACCAGATGCGTGACAGTGGAAAACTCAATCCATGGATGTTTTTGTTCGACTGTGGATCCCAAGATAACATTTCGTCCTCCCACATTAAATCCATTGCTATTACCATAGTTATTTGTCCATCCACGACATTAAATCTATTGAGTGCTTTGAGAGTTATGTCCATTTCTATCTTGATTTTTTCGCTTTGGTTTCTCTTTGGAATGATATATCTTGAATAGCCGTCAAGTAATGTATTCGTCACATTTAGAACATCGTTATAGTCTTGACAAAAAATCCCAGTCAAAATACTGACCAGTACATACGTTTCTAATCTCGCCGCTCCGAAAATCTCCATCTTTACGACTAAGGATCAATTAAAGAGTGAATGTTGGGGAATTCACTGAGATCTATTACGTACATGTACTACCACTGTTCAATTACGAAATTATTTAGATGTTAGAATATCAAAGCATCATTATTAAGATACCAATGGCTTAATTTATTGATATATTTGATTTGTATTTAATTGCTGCCCATTGTGTGTAATTGGTAAGTTATGATATCAATAACTATGGAACTCTGTGGACTTGTAAATGTAATTAAATTCGTTCACTGATAAGAAGATATGATTAATAGATGTTTGTAATACAAGTGTAGTGGAATCTGTTTCGTTGTACTCTCGAGAAAGCAAATGAACAAAAGATGAAACTGAAGTTATCATTGAGTCATTATTTTATTTGTGTTGAAGTTTGAATGCAGCTTTAATTATTCATTAATGAGGTTTATAGTTCGTATTGATTTATTAATAAAGTGATTAAATTATGTCGAATTAGATGTAAATGTCCTATAAGTGTTGATGGATAGATGTTATGAATCATTGTTATTAAACCGTGCCCCAAATCAGTGTTATTTAGTCGAATATTTTATCTTTTGAAACATATCGTTATTTACATATAATTATTGTTACTGATTTGGAATTCAGAACATAAAAAGAGATATTATTTATTAATGGTAGAATAATCAAATGATCCTGAATTTAAAACAGGTATTGTTGCTTTTGTTAGTATTGCTACCACATCCAAATGTAATTTTTATTAGTAAAAGTACGTTTATAAGTATAGAATTAAGCAGTATGGAGTGTGCTTTATTGTGGTGTATCTTATGAAACATAACGATCTTTCTTGGACAAAGTTTGAGTTATTGTTTTTGTCCTGCCTGTCTGTTTGTTTCTCTGTCTGTTGTTAACTTTAACCTAGCCCATAACTATGGAGTGGGTGAAGCTATGATTTTCATATTTCACAGGTGTATTCCTTGTGACAAGACCTTCCCATGGGTACCAACTCTTATTTTGATTTGACTTTTTAATTTGACCTCTTAACCTTGATCTTGGAGTGACCCCCCCCTTTTTTTTTAAACAAGTTTTTACTTTTACAAAAAATATACCACACTTTAACCTTGGCAATGAATTTTGAACAGCTAGGGCTTTCAGCCTTCACATGTGTATCCACTGTAACAAGACCTTTCAGCTGGTGTAAATATTTTTGACCTTGACCTAAGAGTTTGGCCCACTTTTTAAAAACTTTACCCGTGACCATAACTTTTGAACAGTTAAAACTAGGGCTTTCATATTTCACAGGTTTATTCCTTGTAACAAGACCTTCCTTTGGATACCAACACTTTTGACCTTGACCTTGGAGTTTGAAATGCATGTAAGAGAATTCAATCCTTGCCCTAAGCTGCCATACAGTGTTTCACAAACAAATCTTGTTTGTATTTTGTAGACAATTGGTGCAGCATTTGTCTCAAAAAAGATACAAGCTCTTGGAAAGAGGGTAACGCTAAATATATGGGTAAGTCATGCGATCTGCTCAGTTTCGTGCTCCTTCTGAGGAACAACGCCCAACTTTCAGTTTATGATGTGCCAAAAATGTTTTTTAAAACCAGTGTTTGTTTTAAATGATTGAAGTATTTAATATAATGCAGGACACAGCCGGTAGTGAAAGATATCAGTCCATGACTAAGATGTACTACAGAGGTGCCCGTGCCGCCATTTTATGTTACGATCTGACTGATAAATCCAGTTTTGATAAAATTAGATACTGGGTTGGCGAGTTACAAGAGAATGAGCAGGTAGAACATAGAATTTTGCAATGTTAAATGAGTATCATTAATAATCTTTTAAGTGTAAGATATTTACTTTGTAAATTGATATGCGCCAAAAGTTTCATTGACAAATTTGAGACAGTTAATAAACAAATACTTACCAGGTACTTTCTGAAAGATATTCTTTTTGTTTATTCTTATGTGTTGTATCTAGAATTTTTTGTTATTTTGCATTTTTGTAATTTATATCAATAATATAGTATGAAATTGTTTTTGTTTACATCACAGTATTGCCGAATGTATATATGTGGAACAAAGAAAGATTTGATTGACAATGATTCAAAGACGCGGGCGGTATCTGTCAATGAGGCACAAGTTATAGCACAAGGTATTCTGGCTAATTTCTTTCTATGGCGTTTAAAAATGAGTTAAGCCACCTGATCCCACCTCTTGAAATTCTGGGCGTCTTGTTTATGTACACTTCAGTGTATTGTTTGTATCTTTTATCAGATCGATCTCATTCTCATCTTAACCTTTTCCATTTATTCTGCTGCTTGAACAAATTAAATCCATTTATATTGGTACAGGTGGTGGAACAAATGTAAACTTGACGCTTTGATAAAATGGCTTTGAGAAAGTATATTTATTTATTACATACTTAGAAAATAAATACAGGATTTTTGCATATGTGATATGCCTGACATCACAATAGCCGTATCAGCCCTGCAGGGCTGATATGGGTTTGCAGGACTGATAAGGATCAATATCACAACCCTTGTAAATTCAACCTAAAAACAGTACTTGTTATAATATAAATATTTTTTATATAATCATTCTCATAATTTTAACCTTTTGATTGTAAGGATCACCTACTGGTATTTGACGAAAGATCGTTTCAAACTATGGATAGGGCACATTTGAAAATGAAGTAAAACATACCCAATCCGCTTGAGACAATAAGCTAGTATGTACCTGTCAGAAGTACCTGTGCATGATTATTTTTTCTCAAGTTGATGTGTACTCTATTTTATTACTATTAAAGTATGTAATAAACATAATAAATATACCCTTTTCCATATCACATCCTGTATCAGCCCTCGAACAATATCAGCCCTCAGGCCTTCGGCCCTCTTGCTGATATTGGTGTCTCGGGCTGATACAGGATGTGATATGGAAAAGGGTATATATTATTCTCTATGTATTATATATTAACCATATTTGAAAACGGAGTTATATCCCAGGTAATCTACAGATGTATTTTAAGTACAAAGAATTCAATGTATAAACCAAATCACTAGGTAGCGAGGTGCATCAGATTTCTAAAGAATTTGCTTAATGTTTGTTGACATCAGAATAAATCAATCTTCTTCCTAGCTCATTTCATTAAAGAACGCGTCACAACTTAATAATTTTTCAACCAAGTTTTATTTCTACGGTCATTTCAGACTTACAAACGGATTGTTTTGAAACCTCGAGTTTAACAGGAGAGAATGTAGGTAAGTTTAAAATAATGCAAGTACATTTGTGTAATTCATGTTAAACGTACTTGATATATCCTTTATATTGTATGCTTGTGTCAAGTTACTGAATGATTAAAATGACTTTTTGCTATTCAAAAGATGCTGTATTTCAACGTATAGGAGAGGATTATATAAGAAACATGCATAACTATCCAGAAAACCAGCCCAAAACACAAGGTATTGTATCCTGCTTACTTTCAGTTTCCATTTATTTTCTAAAAAAATATTATTAAAAAGTAAAAACCACCGAATAAAGATGCATAAACTTGTTACGTTTCACAAAGAAAAACCCCCCGCTAGAAAAGCGAGCGGATATATAGTGATGGGGGTGTCGGAACGTCCTTTTATACCACTGAATGAAATTTAATGAGACTTTCACAGAATTATTGTTACATTATAACATTGTGCACCTCTTTTCTTACTTTTTGATCGGACACATATATGGGGTTCCCAGAGCAAAACATGGGCACGACTATTACATTGAAGGGTACCCATCTCTTATCAACAGCTCCTCCTATATCACTGAATAAAATTTGATGATACTTTCCCAAATTCTTTATTACATAATACCATTGTGACCTATTTTACATTTTGATTTGACACTTCTTTCGGGTCTCCCAGTGTAAAGCATGGACTGCCATTGTAACATATGGGAGGCGGGGGTTTCATTAAGTGATCTCATTGCTCACAGTACCTGTAGTTTGAATAAAAATATATGAATGAAAAATATGGAGATAAGGAACATTAAATTGTATTTGCTGACATAATCATTGTATCGACCGTAGAACTTTCGAAATGATGACTTTAAGGAGGCTACTAATATTCTTGTTTCATCAACTTGTTTGTCAATAACTTACCTCATTTTAGAAATTGTACATATGTAGAACATGCTCTTGTGTTTCGAAATGAACTAAGAGATATAAACCCTGTCTGCAGGTGAAGATTTATTGTTCCATAAGTAGGGGAAGTTGACGATTGAAAAGTTAGTGTCATCAAGTTAATCATAATAAAATTATTTTGTATAATGTTGGGTTTTTTCATAAAAGAAATATATATTAATATATCAATATATTACTATAGTTATAAAAAAAATGTTTAATTCTGGTTTGACCATTTGATATTACATCTAAACTTTTTTGCTTTGTAGGTTTTGAAAATAAACATTCCCATTTTATTCTTCACATACATCTCGTGTATTTCTGTTTGTACAGAACGCATATCGCACTCTGAGAAAACAAATATCATTAGCCATGATAATAACAACAATTTTGACTAAATCTGTAAATAAAGTTTGAGTATATGATTTATATTTAAATCAAAGCGTGAATTTGAACAACTGAAGCTGAATCTATTAGAGCAAAACAAAACACAGATATGACTCGTTGTTTAAACAGTCATTTACAAATTTTAATCTTCTTTTTTTCATATATAACGCTTTTTATTTACTCCTTTACGAACTTGTCATTAAGAAATGTAAACAAACTAAATTGGTATTTATTTTTTTCATTGTAGAAATAAAGCAGGAGTTATAATTACTCTGTTAGAGATCATTGACTTAGATTTAAAATCAAGTCGCGGTGTCAAAGCAATTGTGAGCTATACGCTAACATAGGAGATCAATATATGAATGGATATTCCTTAATAAAATGCAATCAACATTTTTGAAATAAAACTATCAAAATATTTATTTTTCCTTTAAAAAGTACTGAAATTCAGATTTCTTGAAAGTATAATGAAAACAATAAACAAATTTTATATAATAAATAACATTTTCTAAATACTAGTATTGCAATAAATCTGGGAGATGAAATCTGTATCTTTATGTTTGTACCTTAAGATGAATTTTCCTGCATTCTCTTTGTAAATTTATTACAGATAACGGCCAGGATTCATTTCATGTACATCAGAAAGAGAATACACCGCCCTCTTCGTCATGTATGTCGTGTTTTAAAAGGTGAGAAAACTTAATGTCTTTATAGATTTCTAATCAATGGATAAAATCAATAAATAAAACTAGAATCTTAGAATAAATATAATTTATTTTAAAACTGCTATATCTTGATATTCCGTAGAAAAATGAATTGGTCCTTTGGACATTACTGCATGTTTGTAACGTTGCTCTTAGGTCTTATATTTGATAACAACTTCTCAAATTTTCTATAAGACACTGGATGCCAAATTTCTTACGATTTCTTCCGCTCTTAATCAAGAATTTATATCTAAAAAATTGTACTTAAATTGATGCAGATTTTCAAACTATTGAAATCCGTACTTATTCATTTAGCTTTGCGATGTTTTTTTTTTTCACAGGTGAAAGTAGAGGATGGAACTTTAAATGTTTTATTTATGGAAAAATGAAAGATGTGAAAGAGGATGTATTTTTTAAAAGTATTGTATGAGAATGACCATAATCATTATTATTGTATTGAGTTCGTTATATTCTCTTGTGGAAAAAACTAAAATACTTCAAGAACAATTTGCAATATATTTGAATTGCTTTGCATCTAAGTTGCATAAAGTATAGTGTCATCTGGTATCTCGGAAAAAATAACAAAGAAGCAATGCTTCTCTTGGTCAGTGTTTTGTTTTTATTTTATGTTTTAATTAAGTAAATGAACAAAATGTATAAGCAGCCTGTGATCATAAACTGTGGTTGGACAAAACATGTAATAAAAATTTCAAAGGTTTGTTTGTTATGTTTAAGCTTATTGTAGTTGATCTGTAATATATGAATAAAAAGTTAAATTAAAATTTGTGCGAAAAATTCTTTCTATAATTATTTCAACGGATTCAAAGATGTGTAAAAAAAAAAAAATAGAGTAACGGCTGTAAATAGTTCAGTGGTTAGAAAGCTTTCAAGGTACCAGAGATCAAAGGATCAAACTTGATATTCAATTACTTGTGACATACTGCATCCAACTAAACACACACTATTTTCTAGGAACATGTACAGAATTTTTTTTAACTTAAAACAAAATGATGGTTAACCTTGCTGTCAATTGACTGAAGCTTTTGTATAGTTGTTGCTTAAAAATTATGAATAGTGCAGTGAAACAACTTTCATTTCCTTTAAAGAAAAACTTTCCTTTGAGAGTCCAACTATTGAAAAAAGACAAGCTTTGTGAATTTGCAATGTACATTAATTTTGATGAAAATGTGTATTTTTGAGTATCTTCATAAAGGCTTAAAGTTTTTTATCTATATATGAACCCACTCCTATTAGAATTATATTTCATTAAATAATCTTTTGAGGTGAAATATATGGTGGTATAACGAACAGTATTCAAGCTCAGAGTCCATTTAACACCCCTTTAACAATACAAAATTGGAGCAGAGCAAACACAGACTCTCAAAAAATCAGAAATAGGATAAGGTGCTATGGTGGAGTTGGTATCCCTGTCGACGGTAAAGTCCGGCGTGTGCTCCTTTTCACGATCGGGAAATAACCTTTAAACAATTCTGTGTTTATAATGTCCTAACAATTGGTATGAAAAACGTACGTCAGCATTTGACTCAATGATAAATTGTATTTGCTGACATAATCATTATATCGGCAATAGAACTTTCGAAATTATGACTTTAAATGAGACTGCCGATATTCTTGTTTCATCAATTTGTTTTTCAATAATTTACCTCGTTTTAGAAATTATTCATACATAGAGTATTCTCTTGCGTATCGAATCAACTGAAAGATATCAACCCCGTATGCAAGAGATGAAGGTATATTGCTGCATAAGAAAGGGAAGTTGACGATTGAAAAGTTAAAGTCTTGTATTTTTAGCTCACCTGAGCCGAAGGCTCAAGTGAGCTTTTCTGATCAAAATTTGTCCATCGTCTGTCGTTGTCGTTGGCGTTGTTGGCGTTGTCGTTGTCGTAAACTTTTCACATTTTCATCTTCTTCTCAAGAACCACTGGGCCAATTTCAACCAAACTTGGCACAAAGTATCCTTGGGTGAAGGGGATTCAAGATTTTACAAATGAAGGGCCACGCCCTCTTCCAAGGGGAGATAATTATGATTTAGTGAAAAATTGATAGCATTTTAAAAAAATCTTCTTCTCAAGAACCACTGGGCCAGGAAAGATGAAACTCATGTGGAATCATTCTCAGGTAGTGTAGATTCAAGTTTGTTCAAATCATGACCCCCGGGGCTAGGGCGGGGCCAAAATGGCCGACCCAAGTTTTACATAGGAATATATAGGAAAAATCTTTAAAAATCTTCTTCTTAAGAACCACTGGGCCAGGAAAGATGAAACTCATGTGGAATCATCCTCAGGTAGTGTAGATTCAAGTTTGTTCAAATCATGACCCCCGGGGCTAGGGCGGGGCCAAAATGGCCGACCAAAGTTTTACATAGGAATATATAGGAAAAATCTTTAAAAATCTTCTTCTTAAGAACCACTGGGCCAGGAAAGATGAAACTCATGTGGAATCATCTTCAGGTAGTGTAGATTCAAGTTTGTTCAAATCATGACCCCCGGGGCTAGGGCGGGGCCAAAATGGCCGACCAAAGTTTTACATAGGAATATATAGGAAAAATCTTTAAAAATCTTCTTCTTAAGAACCACTGGGCCAGGAAAGATGAAACTCATGTGGAATCATCCTCAGGTAGTGTGGATTCAAGTTTGTTCAAATCATGACCCCCGGGGCTAGGGTGGGGCCAAAATGGCCGACCAAAGTTTTATATAGGAATATATAGGAAAAATCTTTAAAAATCTTCTTCTTAAGAACCACTGGGTCAGGAAAGATGAAACTCATGTGGAATCATCCTCAGGTAGTGTAGATTCAAGTTTGTTCAAATCATGACCCCTGGGGCTAGGGTGGGGCCAAAATGGCCGACCAAAGTTTTATATAGGAATATATAGGAAAAATCTTTAAAAATCTTCTTAAGAACCACTGGGTCAGGAAAGATGAAACTCATGTGGAATCATCCTCAGGTAGTGTAGATTCAAGTTTGTTCAAATCATGACCCCTGGGGCTAGGGTGGGGCCAAAATGGCCGACCAAAGTTTTACATAGGAATATATAGGAAAAACTTTAAAAATCTTCTTCTCAAGAACCTTTGGGCCAGGAAAGACGAAACTTATGTGGAATCATCCTCAGTTAGTGAAGATTCAAGCTTGTTCAAATCATGACCTCTGGGGCTAGTTTTGGGCCCAAAATGTCTGACCAAAGTTGTACATAAGGATATATAGGGAAACCTTTTAAAAACTTCTTTTCATGTACTTCAAAGCCATAATTAGTGATATTTTTCTATTTATATGGAATCATCCTCAAATAGTGTAGATTGTACATTGTTCAAATCATGACACCCAGGAGGGTTAAAATTCAAGCCCCCCCCCCCCCCCCCCCCGGTAAACTTTCAGTTTTGATCTGATATGTGCTTTTTCCTAGTAGATGTGCTCAGGTGAGCGATGTGGCCCTTGGGCCTCTTGTTTACTTTTCAGATGAGAGATTTGGATATGCAAAATATTGAAAAATAACTTGTAAAGTATGGGTATTTTTAGAGAACATAAGGATTTGAAAAGAATGACGATATCACAACATTATAATACAGGAACGAAAAAGAAAACTACGTCATTTTCAATAGATATGCAGTCACAATCAAAGTGAAATTATATATGCAACTAAAACTTAGCAGGTTAAAAAAAAACACAAGGTTAAAAAACTTTATAATTTAATTCTATTTAAATTTTCATTTGAAATCTAGCAATAAATTGACTTTTAAATCTTTATTTCGAAGGAAAACATTTTTATTTCTGTAAAATAATATCTTTAATCTAAAAATGATTGCCAATTCTTCCGATCACATTGACAACAAATTCAATGTCGAATAAATAACAATATCGATTCATTATTGACTAGAAAATCAAAAAAAAAAATTATTCTACTTTTATCCATGATTCAGAGAACATGCAGCGTAATCACTAAAACTAGAGATGTTACCATTGATTAATTAAAAAGAAACAAAAACACCTCTGTCTGAAGTTGATATTTCAGATTGTATTTTGAAGAATAAGCTAGGTGTCAAGGGACACTTATAATTCCATGTCTGCAGACATTGAGCGTTGATATAAAGTCTTCTGATTATTGGTAATCCTTTGATGATTCGGATCTAAAAGCTTTTCATCAGTTTATGTAAAGTCACTCACGGTTCAATGTGTTCTAATATTCTTTAATTGAAGTTATGATAGGGACCTATTCAACAAACCATCACCAAAGTTAAACAACGTCGAATCAATAATAAGTGTTTGTTTCCTTTTTAGGTATGTCCGTAAACGCAATTAATGGATGGACATTTTCATCACTAGAAGTAAACACTTTTGTGGATTTTTTTTTATTTTTGACAAGGAACATTACGTCAAATTTTCCCTATTTTAATGATCAACATATGCACATATGAGTTATTTCGTAGGGGAAAATATTTAAGAAATATATAATATAAAGAAACCTTGTTCTGAATTGATGCAGATTTTCAAACTATTGAATCCGTACTTATTCATTCATGAATGAATTACACCATAAAACATATTTAATTCTCGCCTCGTAACAACATATTTATAATCAAAAGATTCTTTTCACTGGTAATATCGGAAATTATAATGAAAAAAAATCATAGGCGACCAACGGAACAACTCACAAATATCAATTTTGAATAAAAAAAATCCTGCGAAAATTTCAGTCTGGTATCTTCCACCTTTATCGGACCAAAATTTGGACAAATAAAATTAAAGTTGCAATGATAAAATACATCAAGAAAAATACGAACAATATTTTATCAAATCTTTTCGTTTTGTGTATATTGTCGACGTCCGAAAATTCTGTATTATCATTTTGGGGTAGGTTCATTTCTTCCACTGATATTCCCTTCATTTTCTTCTGTTTATTCTTGCGAATAGTCGTCAAAAGGCTTGGTATTTTTTCTAGATATTTCATCAAAGGATCCTTTTTGATATGATGGCTATGGATACTTAATGTGGTGGCTAGCGTTATTAGAGTACTGTATATGAGCATTGCCATGAGGTACAGGCAAAAAACCGAAGTCGTGTTGCTCGTTTGAGGCATTTTATCGGCAATCAAAGTCATGTAGACAGCGAAGCTCAGAAGAACAGTCATTGCAAAAGACATCCGTTCTCCACTATCCACAGGAAGCTTGAAAACAATCACGTTAACAAACCCCAGAAAAACAACCGGGGCGACGACATTTATCATGTGAAACAACATCCTTCTTTCCAAAGCGATTGTTATCACAACACGTTCTATATTTTGCGTTTCCAAGAACTCAACCTCAGACCTAATATTACCGAGTTTCCATTCTCCATTAGTTTCAAAATTTACAATATCTACCTCAGCTAA